CTTTTTTTTTTTTTTTTTTAATTCTGGGATTTATTTACTTTCTATGGCTGTCACTGGAACTGAGAGCTGGCTTTAGCTCTGAGCCTCGACTGCTGAAAGCAGGGATCTGGGGATTGTTTAGCTTCTATAATTGCAACATTGTTTCTTAGACTGCAGCTCAGAGACCAGCAGCGGCAGGCAGGGAACCTTGGCTTCCTCCATCACTGGAGCAAGCAAGCCTCCTGTTCGCTTCAGCTGCCTGGCTGCCAGCCGCCATCTTGGTTGGCAGTTAATTTGCATATCTTGCTGATTAGCCAATGGGAAGGGTAGCGAAGTTACGGTTAATTACCATGTTTCTCTTTTATTATATAGGATATTTTAGGAGAGGGGACATTAGTTCCAATTCGATGAAGTAGATCCACTAAAGATTGCAAAGCTACAGACACTAGACTTTGGCCATGTTGGTAAATAACCAAAGAAACAAACCAAGACCATGTGCTTTGAACAGCCCACCCAAACTCCAAAGTTTTCAGCCCTGCTTGAGAAAAGATGCATTGTGTGGGCTCCTACAATTGAGAAGCATTCTTTATAAGTATTCATCACAAGTGATCTTACAAAGAGCTTTACCTTTTCAAGGGTTATGTTTCCATTGCTCATGTTGTGGGGGTCCATTTTATAATCAGTTGCATACTGTGAGTGAGAGAAAGAAAAATCACTGTCAGTGCACAGGGGAAGATGGGACCGAATAGCTGGGCCTCTTGCTAGTCTGTCATTACTCACTTTGAGTGTTGGGGGCATTGCTCCATTGGTTGGCTTGACCTTAAGACCAAGGCAGCATGTACTACAAGAGGCCTCTGGTTAGATAGGGAACCAAGGAGAATGTCCTTATGCCCTGGGACAATGGTTGGTAGGTCTGCCCAATTGCATGCTGAGAGCTTGATATTTCAAACAGCTGAGAGTTCACAGTATTTAGAGAACTTTGGTATTAATTCCACAATGCCCGAGTTCACTTTTCAATGTGTCCATTTATGTGTATTCATTTATTTATGCTCCACTTGGTTCCAGAATTTGTTTGAACATGACTGTTTCTCAGAATCTATTTCTAATGGGCCAGGGCCTCCACTCTCCAAAACAAAGGATGTCAGGCGAGCTGGTGTTCCTGGCTGAGCCTTCTGCGAGACCCACTTCTCTGAAGTGAAACACCTCTCCAGCTTTGGCCTGCAGCAGACTGCACATATTTCTGCACAGGTGTCTCCCCGTGGCAGCAGGCACGATCGAGTGGAATCTGTTATGGAACACCCGTCCTGGTCTGTTCTGAGGACAGCTGGCTTCTGCACATTAGGAGGCCCGGACCCAGAGGCCTGCTCTGTGCCCGCCACTGAGGAGCTCTGGTCTCTCTCAGCTTTCACTGCTGGAGCTTTTCAGGCACGCTGAGGGGTTCAGTGGTCCTGTGATCAGGACGGCAGGAAAAACAACACTCAGCCCACAGGGACAGGCACCGAAACCCCACATGCCTTTTCTTTGTCTCCTACCTTGTGTTGTATACAGAAGCCACAGCTGTGCTTATATGCAGATTTGTTTTGTGTTTTTTAAAGAGAGAGGCTATAATTAGAAACAGAAAAGTCTTTGCTTATCAAGGGCAATCAGGTTAGTCCATCTAATCTAGACCTTGATATTTCTTCTCTGTGTAAAGCATGGCCACAGGGATGTTACTTAGAGTATTGCTAAAATTAGGGAAAAACTGAAAACAAGCTGAATGTCCATCAATAAGAGACCGATGGAGTAAAATCATGGTACACTCACACAGTGGAATACAACCAATAACATGTGCAGGGGGGTTATTTACTGACGTGAGAAAATCTTCACAATATACGGCTTTGAGAAAGAGGTTAGAGTGGAAAAAAAAGTTTAGAGTTTACAAAAAAAGTGGAAGAAAATAAAATAATCATCCATATTCACCACCTAGAGCTACCCATGAACATTTTGATACACATCCTTCAGATCTGCTTTTCTCTATGCATGCCCACATGTTTAAAAAATAATCATACTAAATATGTTGTATGGCTGGTAGCTCAGTTGGTTACAGCATCATCCTGATACTACACCAAGGTTGTGGGTTTGATTCCAGGTCAGGGCACATAGAAGAATCAACCACTGAATGCATAAATAAGTGGAACAACAAACTGAAGTTTCTCTCCGTCCTCTAAAACCAATAAATTAAAAGAAAAATCTTAAAAATAAAATTATAAAAGAGAGTTTACAAACAACATATTTAGCATGATTATTTTTTAAACATGTGGGCATGCATAGAGAAAAACAGATCTGAAGGATGTATATCAAAATGTTCATGGGTAGCTCTAGGTGGGGAATATGGGTGATTATTTTATTTTCTTCCACTTTTTTGTACTTTATTTTTACACTTTTTGCAATGAGCATATACTTCCTTTATAACCCGAAAAAAGATAACATTATACTTGAAAAATGTTCTAAAATATTTAAGAGAGCCCCAAAATGTGATCTGAGGGTATTTCTCAGGTGATATGAAAAGATGTTGGAACCAGTGGGATATTTTAGAAAAACGTTCAGTTTTGCTTTGTTTGTTTTATCCCAGGGGCCCATCTATAAAACTTAGACCAATGTTACCGTTTTGTTAACACCTTTCCTAATTCTATAGCAATATTTTATACAACCCCCACCCCCATCAAAGGTTCATAGTTTTAACAAAGCATCAAACCTTACCGTTTTAAAAGTTGCAACCACAAGATTTGAGGGAAACAGGTTTCTGTTGGAAAAGGAAGCATTTCATCAGTATTCTTAAAATTCAGCGAAGCATGTGCTTTAAGATTGCCCATTCCTGACAGCCTCACATACAGTATTCCTCCTCTCGCTCCACCTCCAGCAATTACTATGGTCTTCTGCTTGTCCAAACACCCACCTATGCCTCAGCTGCTGGGCCACCATAGAAACTTGAGTGCCCCAATTTTTTTAAAAAATATATTTTATTGATTTTTTACAGAGAGTAAGGGAGAGAGATAGAGAGTCAGAAACATCAATGAGAGAGACACATTGATCAGCCGCCTCCTGCACATCCCCCACTGGGGATGTGCCCGCAACCCAGGTACATGCCCTTGACCGGAATTGAACCTGGGACCTTTCAGTCCGCAGGCCGACGCTCTATCCACTGAGCCAAACCGGTTTCGGAAAGTGCCCCAATTTTTATTTCCTCTCCTTTGGGGTACTATTTGATATTTATGCTCAACCAAACCAGAGGACCTGCATCCCTTTCCTTTCCCCAAGAGGGTAAGCCCTGTTGCAGAGGTTTTCAATGGGGAGTGGTGCTGCTCCACAGTGAAATCCATGGGAGTGTTTTTATTGTGGAGATAATTGGAAGGGAAAGTGCCGGGTGCCAGCCATTCACTCTGCTAAGTACAGCAAAGTCCTGTACAATAAATGGTCCCAAGGCCCTCACCCTCATGCCTTCCAATATCCTATACCTGCAGATGAAACCTGCAGATAATTACCTGAGCCTAAACTAACCCCCAAACAAGGCAGTTTTTGCCTAATTTGAATCTATTCTGAATTTTCTAGGAGTGCAACTATTGTATAAAACGTGGGATAATTATTCTTTTGTTTTGTTCAAAATGTTTCCAAGAATTGTTCATCTTTCTGGAAAAATCACATTACCCAAGGCAAATGGTAAGATCTGAGTCCTTAACTGCACACATGGTATCAAGTTTCAGTCTGTATTTATAGCTACGTCATTAACAGTGAATCTAAATTCAGAAGTAAGCACTTCGTTTTAGAGCATTTCCATATTAAAAACCATTATTTTTATTATAAATTACTCTTTTAGTTTTATATTACAGTTAAGTCCTATCAATGTTTTTGAATAATGCAAATAGGTAAATTCTGTTTATGAATTTCATTTCAAGATGAAGGATATAAAATATTGTTACAAAAGCAGGGCAATAGAGCTGAGCTAAGCTGTGTTTTGAAACCAAAGTCTATTTGGGCAAACAGTTTTACTGAGGGCCTCCTCTGGGTCAGGCTCTTGCAAGATTCTGTTCTTAATATGTGAGAAAATCCCACTGACAGTCCATCTTTTCTACCCACTTCCTATAAGAATAAGTCTAGGAGCGTAAACAACTCTGGGTCATCCTTACAATATGAGCCAAATTTACGCACTAATTTTTACGTCTGTGGTTGAATTGTTTACCTAACATTGGAATCTCCAGGCAACTATTTGCAGTGTGTTTGGTTTCAGAGGGAGGCCGGTCTGATTGCAACCCAACTCTGCAAACAGGCGGTCCTTGGAAGACACACCTTTGTGTAATACCTTCTCCTTGAGTGTGGGTGGGGGCCTATGACTTTCTTTTTCCCAAAAGAATGGAGTAAAGGTGATGGATGCCACTTCATGATTTGGTTACATAAAACTGTGGCTCCCAACGTGCGAGAAGACTCTCTTTCCTGCCTTCTGGGCTTGCATGTTTGATGAGACAAGCTGCCATGTTGGACAGGCCCATCTGGCAAGAAACTGAGGGTGGCCTCTGGCCAACAGCCGACCAGGACCTGAGGCTCCCAGACTGAACTTCAAGGACCCAAATTCTGCCAACTGCTGTGCGACCTCAGAGGTGAGCACTTCCCCAGTCAAGCCTTCGGAGGAGACCTTAGCTGTGGCCAACACCTGACTGCAGCTCTGCAAGAGACCGGCGCAGAAGACTCAGCTAAGCCATGCCGGGATTCTTACCCCACGGATACTGTGAGATAATGCATGTGTGTGACTTTAAGCTGCTAAATTGTGGGCAACTTATTAATTTGTGCATTAGATAACTCATGTACTAGCCAACAGGGTTAATAAGATAGAAAATTTCATTACACTAAAGTTGGCTTCCACAAGACAACCAACATGTAGAGACTGCAACACAGCATTTTCCAAATCTACTTGTCTGTGAAACCAGAATTGCTTTGAACATATTTAGAGAATACCAGCTCGTGCATACCTGCATCTAAGCAGACAAATGTGATCATCAGTTAAATTAACCATTACGAAATGGTGATCAGAAATTTGAGTGCTATCACAAGCATATTTACTTAAAAAAAAGGTAGAAAAGACTAGCAGTGTGTACTATTTCTTAGTGTATAGATGAATAACAACTTACATTTGCCTGTTATTTCCATTACCAAGCACCTTTCTTACATAGTTCAAACTTATGGGGTAGGTTTGGTATCTCATTTCCATATGCTATAATACTCAGAAGCAGAAGTCGGTCCTGAGGCAAGGATTTCCTATTCTACCTGCACCGCATGACAACCCTCAATAGTTCCAGGACTGAGCTGGCTACTAGGTTCTCTCCCTAAGGAAGTTAAGAACGAGCTGGGTTAGAAGCTCTCCATCAGTCTCTATGGGGAACAACTTCTGCTGGGTGTACCTTGCATCCTTAAGGATTAGCAGTTTCCTCAACTGGTACAAGTACAGCCTCCCGACAGCCTTGAAATACACTCTCTTCCAAAGAGTACATGCTATTTGTTTAAACCTTGCTAGTTAGCCTGCCTGGTCTTCTTAGCATGAGCAATAACCCAATACTGTCTCACCCACATGGACCATGACCCTCACCCAGAACTTCTAGACCAAACAGCCATTGACACACTGATCTGTTTTCAGTCTACAGTATCTAGTCTACAAAATGCAATGGCAACAGAGAGGTACAGACAATACTAGAGGCAAAACAACAACTCCTGTCCCCCTCACCCCGCCAGCCAAAAAATCAATTTCCTTAGAAGAAAACAATATGTTCTTGCAGTTTCTTACAAAGTTAAACATACACTTACCATATGACCCAGCAATCCCATTTCTGGATATTTACAAGAGAAATGAAAATATGTCTGCAAAAAGGGCCTGTATGATTAATATCAACAGGGGTCCTCAAACTACGGCCCGCGGGCCACATGCAAATACAAATATTGTATTTGTTCCCGTTTTGTTTTTTTACTTCAAAATAAGATATGTGCAGTGTGCATAGGAATTAGTTCATAGTTTTTTTTTTTTTTAAACTATAGTCCGGCCCTCCAACGGTCTGAGGGACAGTGAACTGGCCCCCTGTTTAAAAAGTGTGAGGACCCCTGGTTAATAATCTTAAACATAATAGTCCCAAACCCAAATGTTCACCAACAGATGAATGTACTGATTTTGATAAACCTGCACAATGAAATCCTACCTGGCAATAAAAAGAAACCAACTACTAATATATGCAACTGGATAATCTCAACAACATTGTGCTGGGCAAACATAGCCAGACAAAGAAAAGCACCGAATGATGCCGAATGATTCTATTATTATGAAACTCTAGTAAAAGCAAAACTAATCTGTAGTGACAGAAAGCAAAACTTTCTCCGGCCAGGGGCGGGGAGTGGGCACTGCTGAGAAGGGTCATGGGTGAGAGAAATGTTCAGTGTCTGGACTGTGGTGATGGTTAAGGGAGTTCTCTATTTGTAAAAACTCACTGAAATGCACTTAAAAGAGGTGTGTTTCATTGTATGTAAATCAGTCAAAATTCTTTAAAAGTTATAAAAAACAACAACATATAGTGCTAACTGCAAAGGGGATTTTACAACCAAAAAAAATTTACATTCAATGGAATGACTGAACTTTATTTGGATTATACAGCTCAACTCTCAGATTGTAATCCCCTGGGAAGGGATTGCCTGGGGGCAGTGAGCTGAAGCTCCTGCACCCACACAATCCTGTTCCTTTCCCTTGGTCCCTCTGGTTGCCACAGACCAAGAAGAGGAGCAGCAGTCCCCTCCTGCCCATACCAAGGGGCAAAGAGCTGAGGCTGCGATTTAGTCAAGCCAAGTATCTGACAGCTTGTGTCTTTGCTATTGTATCTAAAAGTCATTGCCATACTCGAAGCCACCTAGGTTCTTTCCTGTGCTATCTCCTGGGAGTTTTACAGTTTGCATTTTACATTTAGGTCTGTGATCCATTCCGAGGTAATTTTTGTGAAGGGTGCTGGGTCTGTGTCCAGATTCATTTTTTTGCATGAGGACGCCCAGCTGTTCTGGCAGCATCTGTTGAAAAGATTATCTTTGTGCGATTGTATCACCTTTACGCCTTTGTGAAAGATCAGTTGACCATATTTATGAGAGTCTATCTCTGGCTTTCTATTCTGTCCCATTGATCTATTTGCCTATTCTTTCATCAAAATCACCGTCGTGATTACAGTAGCTTTATCACTGTAAAGTGTTAGGGTCGGGTAGTGTCAGTTCTACAACTTTGTTATGTCTGCGCTCTTCTTACCCCTCTCCTTTCAAACACATACGCTGCTGTGAGCTGGGGATTTTTCTTACCCCTGAGCTCTCCTGTATCCAAGGACCAGCTGCTCATCATCCAAGCAGTTTTGCTTCCCAGAGCTCTGTCTTAGGCATTTTTCTCCAACTCCTCACATTCACACAATAACTTTGCGGGCTTTTAAAATAAGGAGCTGGAAGGAAGTTTAGCGGTGACCACGTTCAACCCTCCTCTCCGCTCCCCCACACTGTTAGCACATGGTGACACCACAGCTCCGAGACTAGCACTGTCCAATAGAACTTTCTGTATTTGTGCTAATATGGGAGTCATGTGGCTATTGAGCACTTGAAATATGGCTAGTGCTCTTGAGGATCTGAATTTTAAATTTTGTTTACATTGAAAATTTAAATGACATATTTAAATTTAAGTAGCCTCTTGGGGCTAGTGTCTGTCAGATTGGACAGTGCAGGTCGGGAGTACAGAGATCAGAGTCT